AAATGTTCCCCGAGATAAAACCCCTGGTTTGCTATATTCATTGCTAATACCAAGCTGACTCTGGGAACATATTACTATGGATTATTGTAGCTTCAATAAAGACAAATATGGATATAACAATGTATTTATTATTATCGATTGATTTAGCAAACAAGCTATCTCCATTCCTTGCAAAAAAACGATCGATTCAATTACAAGCAGCCAAATTATATATTTATCATATTTATCGCTATTTCGATCCTTCTTTTTCCATAATATCTGATTGTGGATCCCAATTCATATCAAGTTTTTGGAAAGAATTTCAAAAGATTTTAGGTATTAATATTAGCTATTCAACTACAGATCACTCTTAAACTGATGGACAAACTGAGATCTATAATCAGTATCTTCAAAAGAGACTCCAACCCTTCATTTCCTATTATTAAAATAATTGATCAGAGCTCTTACTAATAATGGATTACGCACAGCTTATCTTATCTTATAATTCTTTTAGTAATATTTCTCTATTTAAAGTTATATATAACTATCCTCTACAAACCTTTTGGAATTAGAAGTTCCATAACACTAAAACCAAGGATAAGCTTAGTATAAACAAAGCTTGTATTGTAGCTCAACAATATTATAATATATGGAAACTTGCTATAAAACAACTTTACAAACACTCAAGAAAAAGCCCAGCTCAAGACTAACGCACATCGACAATCTGTTGATTTCAAAGTAGGCGATTTTATATAGCTTAATATATAATATTATCAAACCGAGCGCTTTCAAGAAAGCTAGATTTTCTAATAAACGGTAAGTTCCTTATTATCAAAAAGGTAAGGCATTCCTTCAAGTTAATGCTATCAGATATAATGAAAATTTTAATACATTCCTAGCTGAAAAGCTACGAAAAGCTGTGAATAACCTTTTTTCTGATCAAATAAATGATTCTGACCCTTCAATCAATATTATTAATAAAAAAGAATAGGAAATCGAATAAATTATAGCTTTGAAAAACACTCATAATAATATTTATTATTGAGTACAATAATATAATTATAATATTGACCTTACCTGATACGCTACTGATAATTTCAAATACTCTCCTTACAAAACTCAAAGAGTATTACCTGGTTAATCAAGATCTTCCCGGTCTGCCTAAAATATTACCTTAATGGCTGAAATACTACAAAAATGGTGATAATAAGTATAATAATGTTATTGGAGATAAGAAAATAAATAAATGCTTGAGGGCGAGCTTTTTTAGATGGGGGGGTAATATAACGATTCAGTCCCTTTCAGGTTCCTTTTTTAGTTATTTAGCTTCTAGAATCTTAGCCTAGTATATGACTTATTGATATATATAGTCCGGAGCCCTTATAGTTCTCTTCTTATTCTTTTCTTCCTTCTTTAGTTTTAGATTCTAAGGTAGAATTGAATCCTTTTATGACAGTCCTTTACATGTAGGATCGCTACGAGCAATACTGAGCGGAGGAACATTAGAGGCAACAAGCTTTTAATTAATTAATATTATACTATATAAGCAGTGGGAATATCAGCGGTCTGTAGGCCCGCTCCTTAATACATCTAGAATATCCTTTGGGAGGTTAGACATTAGACATTAATTACTATAAATAAATAAATAAATATTCTCTACAAAAGTACCTAAATCTGAAACCTTATTCGATATTAGGGCTAAATCATATTAGAATAAATACATTCACTTTACAAATATTTGAACCTAGTTGTGATTTGATTAACTAAATGTAAAGCTTCAAAGAATCTAATCTTCTAAGAATATTTCTATCAATTATATATTAACTATATATTAGAATATCAAGAAGCTAGAGCAAATCTGTATATATTCTTATAAGTAATTATTACTAATCAATCGGGGGATCGATCCTTAACAAGGGGATAATATGACAAGTCACATTATCTAGTATATAGATTCTCTTCTTTAAGATCTTCGATCTTAAATTGTCCCTTTTGGGGTTGTATAGTTTAATAATAAAGAAGAGAGCTTTAGGTCGTTACAATAGTTATAGGTTTTCAAAATTAGAAATTTTCAAAATTTATCACACATAACACTTTTCTCATACAAAAAAATCGATTTTTTTGAAATTTTGGAAATTCTAACTTTGAAAACCTGTAACTACCTAGTTATATCCAAAAAAAATACCAAAAATAATTCATTCATTTTTTTGAATAATTCAATAATTAATTATAATATAACGTGGTTTATCACCGAGTGGGCCATATCACCGAATGGGCCACTTTCACCTCAATTCGCACTCTTCATATTCAATACGTGTTTTATTAACCATTTATTATGGAATCTACAAATAAAGAAGCATGTTTACTTTTAGCTATCAAAGCTTTTCAAAAAGATAAAAAATTAAGTATTCGAAAGGTTGCTAAGCTATATAATATACTTCGCACAACGATTAGTTATAGAATGAACGGTTTAATTCTATGTATAGAGATTCAAGTGAATTACTATAAGATTATAGAATTGGAAGAGGATGTGATTATTGAATATATATTTGATATGGATTCAAGAGGATTTTTATTTAATATCAAAAATATAGAAGATATGGCGAATTATATTTTTAAATCGAGGGGTTCGAAATATATTGGAAAGTTTTAGGTATATTGATTTGTATAATATCAAATCGAATTAAAGATATATTTTAATTATATTTATAATTTCCAAAGAGCTTTTTATGAAGATCCTAAGTTTATTAAAGATTAGTTTCGAGTAATTATGAATATAAAAGCAAAATACAGTATTTTGGATGGCGATTTCTACAATTTTGACGAAATAGACTTTATAATAGGGATTATATCTATAGTAATAATTATTATTAATACCAAAAGATATAGTAGAAGTAAATTAATATAGTTAGATAATCGAGAATGGGCTATAGCAATAATATATGGAAATGGAGAGGGTGAAACTATTCTCCTATTTCTAGTGGTTCAGGGACAAGTTCACCTTTCCAATTGGTATATTGAAATCGATCTTCCTGCGGATTGGGCTATTAAATCTATATCTAATGGATGGATAAATAATGAGACAGGTTTAGAATGGTTGAAACATTTCGATAAGTATACTAAGAATCGAAGAAAGGATAGATATCGAATATTGATACTAAACGGGCATAAAAGCTATGAAGCAAGAGCTTTTCAGGTATATTGCAAAGAGAATGATATTATATGCTTGAATCTACTACTGCATTCAAGTTATTTAACTCAATTACTTGATATAAACTGTTTTAGGAATCTGAAATGTTCATATAGTGATCAAATTGATAAGTTTATTAAGGCATATATTAATCATATTTCAAAGGTTGAATTCTTTATAACTTTTAAAACTGTATACAAAGAATCAATTACCTCTCAGAATATGAAATCAGGGTTTAGAAAAGTAGGTTTAATACCTTTTGATTTTGATATTGTACTTTCGAAATTGGATATTCGAATTTGTATATTTATTCTCTTTTCTTTGATCTAGATTAATGGATTTCTCAAATCCTTTACAATCCAATTGAAGCTCTTTCTCAATCAATTTTAATGAAATCTCGAATAACTTGATATTAATTAAGCTTTTTTATATTTATATTCAAAACTGTATTAACTTAGCTAAAGGTATAGAGAGATTAGTTTATAAGAATACACTTTTGAATGCAAAGATTTGTATACTTCGAAAGGCAAATAAAGTATTAAGCAAATATCGACATACAAAAAAAACCCAATTGCATTAAGAAGGAGTATTTATTGGATAAGAGGCTCTTAATATATTATTTTAATAAGAAGTTGATATTCAGATTTAATGTGATGAGTATTAAAAAGAAAGGAATTCTAATAAAAAAGCACTTTTTATTCAGTATTATAATAAATATGGAAAAACAGGTTATAATACAAGAACCTATCAAAATAATATAATAGATTCTAGATTATTAGATTCTTAATAGTTTTAATTAATTAATTCAATCATTATTGAATAATATAGATTTGAAGGTGTAAATTGAGATGAAAGTGGCCCACTCGGTGATATGGCTCACTCGGTGATAAACCACGTTATATTAATTTCAATAATTCAACTTTTATATTTATTGAAATAATATATAGTTCAAAGTTAAAGAAATAAAGGTTTTTAATATGTTTTCGGCTAATATGCAATAAGCTGGGGCCTCAACTCTTACCTCACTATAAGTATACCGCAACATATGATGAGGCGAGATTTCAGCCGCTCGCTGCAATGCATACATCCGGAACTATAGGAACACCCAAGCCTATTGTCATACCACAAGGTGTTATTACAAGTCTGGATGCCTCTCAAAAGGCTATTTCACTTTATGGTGTTGCCACAACATCCGATTATTGGCGAGGCTTACGGTGCTTCTTAGCGTTCCCACTATTTCGTAAGTAGCCTTCTTTCCTTCTGGGTGCTCAGCTTAAGACTAGACTCTAGATCCATGTTTCATATTTATCACGTACTTTCCAATTTCAAGAGTTTCAAAGAATATACCACTTACAAGTTATCATGAACAGATGCCGCGGGATTCTACAGGATAATGACTGCTCTATACTTCAAGCAGATAGCGGTGCTTCCACCGCCTGTCCCATTGACTGCAGAGTTAGCAAATGAGGTTCATATACATGGTAAAGTGCAGGTCGCAGGTCTCCCTCCTGCCGTGTTGGTGGAAATATCGAATGTCCTGAGTATTTAAAGAACCTTCGTCCTGTCAAATATATCATGACTGGAGGTGGCCCACTACCCAATGGCCCTGAGATTCATTAATTCTAGTACTCAATTGTTTGCGGGGTTTTGGTTCAACAGAGACAGGACATATTCAAGCGGCTTTACCACCTGAAGAAAATGTAACGATTTCACACCTAAAATTGTTTTTCTGGATATTACTTTCAGGTCGCCCAGTCTTGATTAGATACCTACTGACTCTATCATGAATTAGTGGGACTACTTTGACTTTTCTACATCATTTGGTGTTGAAATGTGGCATCACTCAGGCGAACTCTATGAGCTCGTGATCGTTCGTGATCCATCGATAGAAGCATATCAGGGCATTTTCTATACATTTCCAGATCTTCAGAATACAAAAACTCGGGATCTATTTTCCAAGCACCCTAGCAAGCATAACCTCTGGCGCCATGAAGGTCGTTCTGATGATATTATCGTCTATTCTACAGGGGAGAAGTTCAATCCAATCAGCATGGAAAATGCTTTGAACTCTCATCCTAAGGTTAGATCTGCCATAGTTTATGGTACTAAGAAATTTCAGTCGTCCGTACTGAATGAACCAACCGATCCCGAGGGCTCCAAGGATGTCCTATTAGATGCATTATGGCCAAACAATAAAGACTGCAAATATTACTTGTCCCGCGCATGCGCGGATAATGAGCAAGGACTTCATCGTATTCACCAAACCCTGATAAACCATTTCCCAGAGCTGGGAAAGGTACAGTGCAACGAAAGCAAGCCGAAAAACTATATGAAACAGAGCTCAATAGTCTTTATGAAACAAGTACTAATGGACAGGTATTCAACAAGGAAATATAACGAGATCAGCTCTTTGGATAAGGGGGCGAGCTTGACGTACAAGGTACCATCATTAGAAACCATTTCGAATTTTCAAGGATTCGAAAACTTCTCTGCGTCTGAAAATTTCTTGAGCATGGACTGGACTCTCTAGGCGTGATCTCATTAACAAGGGCAGTGAATTCGGCGTTCGAATCACAAGATCCTCCACGGGATTTGATACGCGAGTCAATGATACATGCATCTCCAAGTCCAGAAAAACTAGCACGCACCCTCTCAAATTCTGCCAAAGACGAAAATGAAAATTATGCCGAAATGCAAGAAGAATATGAACGTTTCGTTTCTGACCTACCTATTATTGCCAGGCCATCGGCACCAGTCACTGGACCCAAAGTATTTTCATTGACTGGGTCTACTGGGTCTTTGGGCTCATACATCTTGAGCAAACTGCCTGAAGAAGACAAGACATGCAAGGTTTATTGCCTCGATAGAGGCAAAGATCCCGAGAAACGTCAGCTGAATTCCAGCTCGTCTAAGGGCTTTTCAACAGATTTTAGCCGTGTCCGTTTTCTCAGCATGGTCACTGGTGTTACGGAAGGATGGCTAGGAATAAAGCTTGACCAATACAAGGAGCTACTCAATGAAGTAACGCACATTATTCACAATGCTTGGCAAGTTGACTTCAACTTGTCTTTTAGCCAAATGGGTGTAATGCATATTCGTCGTGTTCGTCAGTTAATTGATTTCTCCGCTCACTCAAGATATGGTGCTTCCATTCACTTCATATCCAGTGTTAGCACTGTTGGAAATTGGGACCTCAACAGATCAAATACACCCAGCTCCTCCAGCCATTCCACGCCATCACAATCATAAAAGGAGCCAATATTAATGCAACCCCGTGTTCCCGAGATTCCGTACGAGGATTGGTCGCTGCCACAAGGCTTGGGTTATGGCCAATCAAAATTTGTTGCAGAGCGGCTGATTACTACTGCCTGTTAGATTGCCAATATTCCTGCTTCGATCTACCGAGTGGGTCAAATTGCTGGTCCGAATTGATTGATTGATTGATTTTATTAACGTCCATCTTCAGTCCAAAACTATATAGAACAGCTAGGCCCTAAGGGTCTAACGAGTAACTTTTTAATTTACAATATTGGATATAATCTAATTAAAAAAGTAAAAACAAATACTAGAGAATAATGCCCGCTCATTATACACATTATATATAATAAGAAAATTTTGAAAATCAAGAAATTATAAAAAGATTAAACCCCCCTCTTATTTTCTCAACTATTTTTTCTTTATTCTTTTTCCTTTTTCCTTTTTTATTACTAACATAACTTGACTAGAAGTGGGTCATGTTATGATATGGGTCACAAAAATCATATTTTCCTATTTGACCTTATCCTACATACTATAAGATGATCTACAACTATTACTAATCCAATTGAACTATCACTATCCTCTTTCTCTTTTATCTCCCTTTCTATCTAATCAATTTAATACTTGGATGATCTACTATATCATCGTTTTGATAAAGGTATCTATTCAGCCTCTTCAATAATTTTCAATACTTTTTCAGTACTAAATATAAATTCACCTTTTAACTTTATTCTCTTTCTACTTTTTCGTTTCTTTTGTGTTTCAAGTAACTCTTTATATTCTTGAAGTTCCTTTCGAAGAATAGTATTTTCAGTATTTAAGCTTTCAATCTGATAAGTTATTCGCTTTGCATATCTCTGTACTGGAGAAGTAAGCAGATTATTAACGAATAAAGCTAAATTGAATACCTTATTTGCTTATCACAGCTCAATATCATTCGGGGGAGAGCTATTAAGTAAAGAGAGATCTAGATCTTCTGGGTTTGCTGGTGTATTTGGAATGGAAGATAGTAGTAAAAGCGGGGTTGAAAGATTATTTAGAATTTAATAAGGACTAAATAGATTCAAACCTGTTTCTTTCCATTCGCTTTTGATATTTTGATAACTAAAACCTTTTTCTCTTATCTTTTGAAAAAGCTATACTCAATCAGATCGTTGTATTCGTTATATTCCTACTTGAAAGTATCGATCAATCTTTTGAGCATGATATTGCTTTATTAATCCATACACTCCAACATCTAATAGCTGAAGTAGATGCAAACAATAAGGTAATAGAATAAGAAGATTAATTTCCTTTTCAATACAAAAAGCAATCAAACTTTCTATAATATGATTAAAATAACCATCCATAATCAATAATCAAGGCTGATCTCCTAATATTTTTCGAGATTCTGGTTCAAAAACCTTATATATCCATTCAAAGCCATAACTATTAGAAGTCCATCTATTATTATTTGTTAAGAAATACCAGTTTGAAGAAATATTAGTTAGAATCTATATAGTGTTAATATTCTGAGCCTTAAAAATAATCATAGGAAACAAAAAGCCTCTATTTGTATTCACATATTCCAATATAGTTATTTATTCTTACCTTCCTACTATAACCTTCCAATTCGATTTGAAAGTAAAATCCACAATTATACATATTGATTCTATTTCTCCAACTACATATCCTATTTCATCCATATTATATATATTCTTGAATTCATAATGTCGTTTTTCGATTTGTATTTGAAATGTTAAAAACCACACTGAAATTATTTCAAATGTGGTTTCTTTATATCTTGCAGATTTCAATTTACAAAAATAGATTCCTTTAAGTTTGGAATATCAATCTAAAAACCTATAGATCTATTGTTGATCTATATAATTTGATTGAAAGGATAAAGAGGTAAATAATAACACAAAAATGACACGTTGATTTAGAATTTCTTGGGTTATTTCTTTTAACAATCTAGGAGTTGTAGGGTATTCAGTAGTTATCAATTGTAAGATCTATTATATTAAAATCTTCTCTTCCGTGTTGAAAAGTTTTTGAAAGGATTTGTAAGATTGAGAGTGTGATTGTTGTCCAGCTATTCGATTTATCAAGATTGACTTCGGAATCTTAAAATGAATAGCAATACTTCGAATTGAAGTAAATTCTTTATTTTTTAGACTTTCTATAGCCTTTTGAATATTATCTTCCGATTCACTACGATTTAATAACTTTCGATCCATTGTATATTGAATAAACGCGTAAAATAAAGAAATGAGGGAGTGATTTTGACCCATATCATGACATGACCCACTTCTAGTTAAGTTACGTTATTCTTTTTTTTATTACTTCTTATTCAAAAGTCCTTATTAGATGCTATACCCTTGTAGCGATTTTGATAATATTGATAAATTTGATAGCTAATTCGATACCTATCTTTGTATATAATAGAAATTGTATAGTGATTTTGGATAATAGGATTTTCTTAAAGATTTCTTTTCTTTCTGTTTTATATATAGGATAGCTGATAAGGAGGTATTGTAATGCCTCAATATTGCTATATATATATTTGTTATTAATGAATTTGAAATAATATAAATAGGATTTGATATATCCATAATCTAATTTGAGTTGAAAAAAATACACTAACAGTATTTCGAATAGTTCTGCTTGATAGCTTGATCTTAAAACTTATTTTCTATAGAAATAGCTTCGAGTAAGTTGATAAGGATTGGTTTAATCTGAGTTTGTATTGATTAAGAATATTAAATCATTAATCTGAAATATATTCTTTGATAATTATATCTAATAATTCAAAGCTTGTTTTATTTAAAATGGGTTGTATTGTGGTTGCTTTTTTGGCTAATTTATTTGCTAGCTCATTTCCTTCAATTAAGATATATCCAGGAAACCCAATTTAACAAGATTTCAGCTCCTTTTGCTCTAATAATTTCTGCTACCTTGATTACTCTTATTTGATTAACTTGTTCTAAATAATCTGAAGTGTCACGGGATCACTTCTGGGAGTATTCAGAAGCTTTACCGCTGAGCTAAACGCCCAAAAGACTAGGAGGTAGAACTGGAAGTTCTACCTTACTCTCACATATATAGCAGGACAGGACAGGACAGAAAGGGCTTAGTGTCACCCCGTGACATGAAGAAGTTTTTAAATGATATAGATCAGTTTGATTATCCGAATAGATTTTGAACTTTTGATTAGTATAAGTAATTGAGCTAGTATATTCGATAGCTCTTGTAATTCTAAAAAGCTCTTTATTATATACCAATTGATTAGTATCAATATTGCTTTGCTCTTAATATAGAATTCGATTATTTGACTGTATAATTATTATGCCTACCCCAATACCAATTTCCTTTTTGATGAAGGAAGTATTAATATAAATATAGATAGTATTCTTATCTTTATATTTGAAAACAATATTGTAAAGAATAGCAGTATCTTCTTTTAATGAATTGCTAATATTAATTTGAAAAGGGGTTTCTCTTTTTTATAGGGGGAAGTTAAAATGAATGATCTTTTTAAATAAGGAAAGGTTGAAATCCTGATTTGTCGATTCCCTTATTTTATTTAGTTGAGTAGGTTTATATCGTTTTTTCCAAGGAATAGGGATCGTATTCAAATTGGCTTGATATTGAATTAGTAATACTTTTTCGATATTGATTGGATAGTTTGTTACAAGTTTAGCTAAACGGAATATATATTATCTAATGTTCGAATCTAATCGAATTTTTGAGGGTTTTAGGCTTGCTTCTACTTTTATTGAAAGAATTGGGGTAGGTAGTTTTGAAAACTCCTAATATCTTTCGAAGAGCTAGGTTTTGAAGTGATTGTATTATATTCTTGAACTGTATTTGGCCTTTCCATTAAATCACTAATTTGTAATCAATTATACTAATCACATATACTATATATAGCTATCTGAAGGCTTTAGAACTAAGGCCCTTTTCGATATTAGCTAATCGAACCATTTGATGGAAAACTCCTTTGACTTGTATGATTCGAATATTAACATGTTGATCGAATTTGAGGCTCGGATCGAACCATATTCTCAATTATCTAATTAGAGATTGGGGTATAATTGTTTTCGAATTGGGTAATGTGATTAGATAGTCTTTTGTTAAATTGAATAATAAAAAATACATTAATTTAGTTTTTGCTAAATCGAATTGAATAGCATTCTTTGAACTGAATTCATATTAATATTATACACCAAAAACACATAATCAAGGGACGATTCATATATACTCCTTATTTATTTCCCTTGCCCCGGCAGGCTTAATCCTATCAAACCTTATAATCACAGGAGACTCTCATTATGCCGATGGCGATGTGTGCTTTTGGTGTACTAAACAATTCCTCAATTTAGAGGGCGCTTCCTCTTCAAACAGTTACTAATATCTTAGAGGCTGGTATACAGCCCCTACCAATTATAAGATTGCTCACAGGCTCTACTCTTGGTGTAATTAAGGAACAATTCGAAAGAATCGATAAGATAAAAAGAAGAGATGGAAGGTGATTGAGGCATTCGCGGTACTAACAGATAAGCTTGTATAAGAATTCTAAGGTTAACAATGCAAACTCACCGCAAAATTTAAAAGTACAATTATCTCTACTTTGCTAGGAGTAATGGAGATTATTCTTGATTAAGGGAGAAAGTCTATAACAAAGTAATTATAACCAGAAAGCAATATGCAGAAAACCTATATTGATACACTAAAAACTCAAATGAGGTCTAAGATAGTAAGCCTTATTACAGGCTTTATTAATATAATACACTCTGCTTTTAGTGAAAGTATAAACACTGATTGTTTGGGAGCATATAAACTCAAAAGGGAGAATAATCGGATTGAGAAAACGATTCTTATAATAGCTAGTGGGGAAGCTTTGTTTTTAGAGATTAGTCCATTTCTATTAAGACTCAGAATAAAAGAGATAGTTATTGGGATTATACTAGTAGAGATCCCCTTTCTTTAAAAGAACAATATAGGCTGGA